TTACCGCTTCTTTCGACACATAAATGGGGTTTATTTGTGCAAACCTTTTCCATACAGCGATACAGCAAAATAGAGCGCGGATCCATTACTATTTAAATATGTTCAACATATAAAATGTGTGTAGGTATACGATAAAGGTAGTTGCGCTTTTGGACGCTTGTTAAATATTAAAACAAACTGATAACCTTTGAGGTTTCGGTAGGTTTTCGGTGACCGAAACTTTTTACCTAACGCTATCAAATATTTAAGCCGCAAATAAAACTTGTTAGATTAAATTACGGATAGGTATTAGATGTTAACAGAATTTTCATTTTATATAATACCGCAGGAGAAAACCGCAATCCGTTTTCATCGCGAAGGACATAGAGTAATTGATCACGATACAATGATTGCAAAAATTCCTTATTCTATACCTGTGGGATTTCTAGTCTCAAATTCCTAAGCTCAAGCATATCTGCAATCTGGCTATATTTTTCTCCCGATTGAAACAAATCTCTACTAGATTGTATGCTGAATCCTAAAATAGTAGTGATTTTAAAACTTTGAAATGCCTTATTGCTACCATTTACACTCTCAGAATATCAAATATTGTAAGTAGGATATTGTTATAGACCAAGGATGTCTCTTAGATAAATTCAAGGCGAGAACAGATTTACCATTGTAAACGGTATTTTAGACTTGAAGCTTCTCTGAAATATTCGGTTATTATTTTAAAGATCAATATGATGCAGCATTCGGATGTAATTCGCAACTGCGAAGTACCAGTTGCGTTGGCAAGTGTTTCTAATACCTTAATTAACTAAAACGATACCAAAATGGGTTTTTACGTTCACGCTCAGGCAAAATATTGAAGGTTTAATCGACCTCCCTCATCATTATTCATTAGGAAGCGTTTTCATAACATTTCAATTGACTTTTTATTATTCACTTACTTAACTAATGTCTACCCGGTGGTTGTCTTCAAGTATATGTGCACCAAAGCTAGATTTATTCCAACGATTGTAATTAAAGTGAGCCATAACGAACCCTCACTACTGCTTTCCCTTTGTTATTATTGATTGAACTTGGATTAATGTTTAGTAGCATTTTTTATATTGTACCTACATTTTTTACGAGCATCGAACAATAAAGTTGTAATCGCGGGTATAGGGCAACGATCCATATAAAATATTTAAAGAACTTTCGTTTGTGTTTATTTTAACACCATTATAGTAGGTTTTTAGGGGCTGTGAAAAATAATAAGAATATTTTTCTGGTAGTGTTGATGCGTAATCTACTTGGTAGCCTAGTAGGACCCACACAAAAATACGAAATACTGAAATGTCACGCAGAACTTCAGCGCTTAATACTTGAAAAAATAGATGAGACTGTCACACTACGATTTTTCGCACTAGGCTTGCTCAAATGACACAAAACTCTAAAACCCACTGTGTTCGTAAACACACTGACAAAATGAATATGTTGGATTAATAAAAATTATGATTGTGATTATGATACTACTACCGACATAACCGCCGAAATTTCAGAACAGCGTACCCGTCTAAATAATCTCCAGGGTGTGTTCCACATGTAGGGGATTTGGTCCTCCGAAAAGACCACCCTTTGACAAAAGCTGCCTTGGGCTATGCTGCGCAGTCGGCGCTGAAGTACTCCGGTCCGTATGTGATCCACAAAGTGGAATCCTCGCTTGTATTTCCACTCAGATATCCGTCCGAGCCAACGAAAGTTCCAAAAGTTCACATGAACGATTTAAAGCCGTATCGATAAGGTGGCAGGTATAATAATAATAATAATTTGACGTTTTACCCGTCCCGAGGTTTTGCTTGTTTTAGGATAGCGTACCGAAAAGAGTTGAACTCTTTTCTTTTGGAAGAAGGGGAGTGTGTAACGAAGCTGCTTGAAGCTACCTGCGTCGAGGAACACCCGGTCCATGGACTCGACCTGGAAGCGCTTTGTTACGAGGACCATAGCTGTGAACATATAATTTAGTTTTAGGAATTGGAATTAACAGGAAAAAGTCAAGGTTTTTTCGTAGCCGCCGATAATGCCCTATTTAATTCATCCGTTTTCAAATTGTTCCCGTAGGTAAATTAGTCCTTTTTGAACGTAAATCAAATGTTCCATTTCGCTGATCATATTCAAACAGCGAAGTATTGCTTCTAGGAGCAGAGAAGCGGAAAAGAGGTAGAGAAAGTTTACCTCTTTTTCGCTTCAGACATTTAAATGAGTAACAGAAAAAAACCGTCCGATAGAGCTGAGCCTTATCTCAAAAGAAACGCTCTTAACTAACTTGAATTTTGACACCGTCTCGTATTTTTAAGATGTCTGGGAAAGAAAACAGTTTTAATTTGTTTGAAGTTGAACATCTCGAAGGTTTAAGCGGACTGAGCGGGATTTCCTGTTTCTCCCTACTTGAAATGGCCGAATTTTATAAAAAGTAAAACCGTTGTTTGAAGAGGATCTTTTGCGTTTTGCATCTTTGCCATTTTTGCTGGTCATAAGTACATTAAAGTTTGAGCTTTTTCATAAATTTTCCATTCATACCTTTTAAACTTTGCTTTTACATTAAGTTTACCACACCGCATCTATTGCTTTTGCTTTTTTATTCACAGCTTCGTTTAATTGCAAGGTAAGTTACCTTTCGCTAGGGAGTTTACCGTAATTTTGTTTTGTTTGATTAAGTTTGTGAGGAAAATTGCATTTGTGTTATCACCAGAAGCTCAGATTACAAAATCGAAAAACCTTACGGAGCCTCTTATTCTCTGAAATCTGCTATCTGGTGACTATCTTGAAAGTATGTTTGGATCGCTCAATAAATTTAATAAAATAAATGACATTTCAGAAAACAGAAGTTAATTTCGTTTTATGATAAAAGCGATAGAAAATGTGTGTTTAAGATCCTTAACGTAATACTTAAAAATAATAAAGGGCAGTTCATAGCGCCGTTTTTATGAAATTAGGTTAAAAGGGCCACACGATGAGATTTCAATTTCCTTTACAGCAGTTGCTGACAGTGTTTCATTTGTCACGTAAAAATGTTCTACAAAGATTCGTTTTGTACGTAAATAGAAATTAAAGAACTTTATATAAAACGCTTTTAACAAATTTTCGTGTAAACGCACACCGAAAGAAATTAAATTATTACAGTAGGGCGTCATAATGAAAATGTTCTTTTTTTGTTTAAACACTCGCTCACAGAAAAGAGCTCCTTAAGTGTTCGAGCCGCACAATCTGAAAGTTTATAATTTGATATACTCTGGCAGTCTTTCACGTACTACGTAGATTTATCAGAATACTGTCTGTTTTGTGTTAAATAAAAATATGAGCTGGAGTCTGCAAGAGGTCGGGGCAGATGGTTAAAGGTAGCAATTTACTTGGGCGATCAAATTTGCTCATTCTCCATTCTACCGAAACAGTCTTGAATATTTTTTAACATCTCTAATAAAGGTGGGAATGGCTCATGAGTATTTTTTGTATTAGAAACACACCACTAATACACTAGATTAAAATACCGTAATGAATCCTAAATTTACTACTCTAGAAATAATAAGATAGTGGAACCATCTAGCTAGATGTTTTGAATCTTGAAAAGATTTGAAATGGTTAAAGAAAGATTGCCAAAAGGACAAATTTAAAATATATTCTAACGGTTTATTTTCTTCATTAGAAGCATTGTTAACGTGCCCCGTATATTTTATTGAATGATCCTCGTATATGTTGTAACCTTGGAATTTTCAAACGCGTTGTTAAAATTCAATAATCAATTTAAGTCGATCATTCTTGATTGGGGGTTAAAACTGATATCTGTCAGGTGTAAAGCCAAGCTACTAAGATTTTTGAAAATTTTGATATTTGAATATTTTTGTGTACGCCATCCAATCGTGGAGTTTGTTTTCATATTTGACAACAATAAACTAGTATTTAATTTGGTATCTGAACTGACTTGACTTGATCTCTGGTGGATTGGATTGTCACCCTCCAAACACAATAATAACACCCCATTGTGTTCCTCGTTTCAAGCGTTTTACCGCCAGTTTTATAACTCCTTCACGTCGTCTCTTTCATTTTTGCCTGCTTTAACTGCTATTTACATCCTCCTATTAAGTCATATTTTTTAACCGTCTGCCTCTTCTACGTCTTTCCGGGTCACATTACATACATTATGTATTTTGAAGAATGGTATACTTCCAATGCTCTGTTCTAAGCGTAATGCTCTTCATCATCGAATCCATTCCAGATAAGTACTGTACATAAGGTACTCTACGTCTACGATTTAGGGATATTTAGTAGCTCATGGAAAGAGCATAAAAAAACGGATGAAAAATTGTACCTACTTGCAAAATGTTTCTAAAAAAACCTAAAAAACCACTTTAGAAAAATGTTCATTTTTTATCCGTTTTTTATGCTCTTTCCATTAATACATAGTGAATATATGCTTTCCATTTGAAAATTTCGGAGGGAGGGAGACAACAAACCGAGAGCTAAAATCTAAAATGGTTGGAATCGGTTGCGCCGTTTAGCCGAAAATGAGTGTGTTACAGATTTGCACATGCGTGATTCAGCCGTTTAGCCGGAAATAAGAGTACATACAGAGACAGACCGGCAGACCGACAGACCGGCGACCGACGGACCGATCATCATCAATATTTTGTTTGATTCGAATTCCTGGTGCTTCAAAACGTGGATTTTTGTGAAAAAAGTGGGGAGTTATTTTTTACCCCAATGCTACTACATACCAACACGCGGGTGGTAAAAAGGGTGGTAGTAAACGAAAAATTTAAAGGTTTTTCCACTACGATTTTATTTATACATTATTAGCGCATTTTTTAAATATTAAAAAATGTGCTGTTGTTTGCGTTTTGTATGTCCACCCGTTTTTCCCTTGGTCCGTCCGTACATCCCCACTTCTGCGTTTTTGAACTACTTTTAATATAATTTCTAGAGTTCTAAATTTTTTGCAATACGTAGCCTGTACCTTAAACGTGTACTATAGTTCGTTCACCCAACAGAAATAGTTAAGCCCCTCCTCAACAATTACCGCCACATTTGAATACGACATTGTTATTGGTGTAATTTTTGAAGCCACAATCACACTTGTAAAGCGAATTGGCCGAATTGGGTAATCTGTCATCTGTCATCTTGCCTCTGCCGGTTTTTACGTTTTTACATCTTTACTTGCGTCAATTTGCCATTAATCTCCTTTATTCACACAAAATAGTCTTTATAAAGACTCGTCGGTGTATTCTAAAGATAGTCAGGTGAGTAATTATAAAATTTTATACACGATTTTTACATGCCTGTTTTTAGGGTTATATTATTCGCGATCAAGAAAAGTTGTACGCAAACATGAATGTCGCCGGTGCTGCTTTCCCTCCACCGAAAAAACGTTCTGCCAAGCACTTTTCAGTTGAAGACAAAACTGGCATTTTAAATATCTTCAAGGCATATTCGGAAGACAACCCGGAGGTATCTAAAACGGATAAAGTTGAGTTTCCGGCTAAAGCAGCAGGTAATTTTCATCTTAGGCACATTCATTTTTACTTATTATTGTGTAATTTAGGTGTAAGCATTCCGAGTGTCTACAAGATTCTTCGGGAGTATACAGAGGTACACGAACTTCATTCACCTAAAAAATATTATCGACCACGAGCAATTTTGGACAATATTGATTCCGGAACTAAAAGTATTCTTCGACGTTTGCTTCATTCTTTCTTTGAAAGAAATGAACCACCTACCCTGAGTAAAGTTTTGGCAGTGTTACACGTCCACTATTTCAACAAGCAGTGGAACATGTTACTGCTGAAAATTGGAAGAACGCAATTCGCCATGCTCAAAGTGAAGAGGAAAAAATGTGGCAAATTGACATTTTAATGGGCATCGTAGTGGAGCCATTAGTAATTCATGTGGGAGATGACTCGACATCAACGGAGTCCGAATCCGAGTGAAGCGATACAGGATTTAAATTGTTATGTTCCTTTGTTTATATTCAAGTGCACTTGTAATTTCAAAACTTTGTGCTGCTGTAATAATACTTTTTTGTACTTTTCTCAATATAAACAGTGTTTTTATGTTGCATATTTACATGTATTTAACAGTTTGCAGGTTTTACTATTTTTGCCACGAATTATGTTCAGAGAGATAGCGCCATAATTAGTCTTCAGCAAGTGACATTTCAATTTGATTTTTCAAATTTTCCGCTTTTTATAATTTTGTGGTTGTAAAACTGGTTGCTGCTTACATTGGCCCAAATTTTGTAGGAGTGGCTTAACTATTTTCGTGGTCTTGGTGTGAACACGGCGTATAGTATCCAAGCAGGATAGAAGTAACTATAAGCAGATAATAATAGCAACTCATGTCGCACGGCGCAATTACGACCCCACCGAACAGATTCGTGGTAATAAGAGCAAATTATACCTTACGCTAAACAGAATAAAGGCTACAAACACATACTGGTAGTTATCGATTGTTTCTCAAAATATCTGTGGACGAGAGGACTGAAGACTAAAACGGGTGAGGAGGTGACAAAAGCCATACAGGATATTTTCAAAACTACCAGACGTAGACCGAAAAATCTACAGTCCGATGCGGGGAAGGAATTCTATAACAAATCATTTTATGGAACGCCGTTTTACTTTTAAATACCGACAACATTAAAAGATTAAAAAAAATAATTTTACATGAAATCATTATAACTAAGAGATAATATTAAATAATTACAAATATCTTAGATATTTAAAATGCTGTAGATGTATTACAATACGTTATAGATATTTCTAAAACAGTGATTTAAAAATATCAAACGATATTTTTAATTCATTTAAAAATATCAAATGATATTTTTAATTCATTTAAAAATATCAAATGATATTTTTAATTCATTTAAAAATATCAATCGATATTTTTAAATCCAAACATATACTTTCTGGGTATCACATCGTAAATAGTATATGGTTTACACATGAATTTTTTTAAAAATTTATTTTACATATTTTCAATCGCTTTGCATTTTAAGACAAAATTTCTAAATCGTAAAATTGCAAATATCAAAAACCATCTATACCATATTAAATTTTCCGAAAAAAAATGTTAAGAATTAAAAATTTCATTTGATATTTTTAAATGAATTAAAAATATCGTTTGATATTTTTAAATCGTTTAAAACATTAAAGCATATTTTTAATTTACGTCAAAACAGCAAATGATAATTTTAATTGATTTAAATATATTAAATGACATTTTTAAAACATTTTAAATAAAACGAATTAAAGAATAACATTTGATATTTTTAAATAAATTAAAATATTATTAAATATTTTATATTTATTTAAAAATATCAAATAATATTTTAAATTATTTAAAATTATCAAACCTTATTGTTAAATTATTTATTTTAAAAGGTTTGAAAATGTCATTTGATAATTTCATAAGTTAAAAATATTGTTTATTTTTATTAAATGATTTTAAAATATCATTTAATACAAAGGTATAAATAACAAATAATATTTTTAAACCATTTACCATAGTTAAATATTTTTGATAATTATAAGTTGTAAATTCATTTTTACATATCTTAGATGTATAAAAATGCGTAAATGTAATTTAAAATATCTTAGATATTTCTAAATGAAATTCATTTTAAAATATCTAAGATATTGAAAATTACATTTGTAATTTTAAATATCTTAGACATTTGGAAATTACCGCTATCTAGGGGCAGATTTTTAAGTTAAATAACGTCTGGCAACATTGTAAGTTTTATGTTTTGTTGTTTATAACCTTACTCTTAATGGCTCTTACTTACTTCTTTTACGCGGTTTACGAATTAGGGTTTTGAAAACAAACGTAGGTACATATATTTTATAAATTATACATATTGGTAAAAAGACATGGATGTTGCTGAAGTGTTACAACGCGTTAGAAGATCATTGGCCAATGCATGTAGGATGTATGAATCAACTAACACATTTCAACATTCAGACTTGCAAAGTGCATCTACAAATCTAAGTAGAATTAGTTGTAGAATTAGTAGCGAAACATTTGATTCACTGAATTCTGCAAATGAGAGCCACTTTCACATTTTTTATTTATGTGATAAATCAATGCGGAACATAAAGAAATGCCAGTATGCAAAATTTCACAATCCTAAACACACAAACTTTTAAATTATCTAAAGATAAGTTTTTCGCGCGCTTGGAAATCATTTTAAACGCTAGATTTTGCCGGCACAAGGTTGTGACGTCACAACTGTGTAAAAGTTCAGTGGCGGTATACTTGCATGTATACTTCAATGCGACGATGTAGCGTATGCGTTTGTTGTTGCTTACGTTTTCTCCTGTGTACCGTGAAATATATCGATGTCTTTCTGACGGCACGTCTTGAGGCGGCCCTTCCCGTACGCACTTCGCTTCGAGCTTTGCATGACAGCAATACTCGCGAGCATTGCACGAGTACAATTTTTACCCTTCACGTGCAGTCCTTGTTCGAAGTACGCCAAGTGTAGTTACGTTAAAAATCGCAGATTAATGATGGTAATACGAGGGTAATAAGTAAAAAACAAGCAGCAGCAATAGGTAGTTCTTTTAGATCATAATGAAAAAAGTAAAATAAGAAGAAAAAAGGTATCGAGTAGAGTAAAGGAGTGGTAGGTATAAAAACGAGGTGCTGCCAATCATATTTATCTATTAATAGAAATCAATGTAAATCACTCTGAAGATTACCAAATTTACTTCCGGATGCATATGCTGACATTAAATATATACTTAATTGTTGAAATTAAATTCGTTAAAATGCCTAAAATACATTTTTCTGAAAGTGGCATTGAAAGTTTTACTGTCTCATTCCATCCAATATAATGAATATATTGTCTTATTTCGAACCTTGTATTCATGCTCGTAATCAAACTAGAAATACACATTGCAACTTTTAAGCGCGCACAGCTTCGCGCCGCGCCAAGTTTTCCGACAGATTCGAAAACGTCAACACGACCCAAGTTGCAACAAAACAAAGTGCTGCTCGTCTGGTCCCTTATTTACGTTCGAGCTTTGCATGAATTCATGTTGGGCAATATTCGTACAGGCAAAGCTCGAAGCGAAGTCCGTACGTGAAGGGCTGCCTTAAGAGATTAAATGTGGAAAATTTTTAGTCCACCTAAAAATACACTATTCGTACTAATTTTTTTGAACTTTCTCTATCATGTCCCCACCCACACACACACATGCACCCTTTATCGTTTTTTGCGCACAGGACACAAAACAAACCTGGCCGGGCGGACCTCTACAAACCTGGATCTACGAACACAAGAATGTAAACAAATATGGCGACCACAGTTGTGACGTCGCACCAATGGCAGGGCGTTTGCAGCTGACGTCATATTTAAAGGGATTCACAGTAATTGTTTTTACTATTTGTTTAAAAACAAATGATCTTTTTCAAAAATTAGTATTCGCCTCATGTATGGCGTATATAGTACTTGCCACCTGTGCAAATTTTTTGCTAATAACGAAACCTTGCAAGTAGCCCAA